TGATGGGGAGGTCTTCAGGGGAGGATTTCATGGGAGTGGGGGGCAATGGAGGGGGTGATAGAGTGGGATCGGGGGTGTGATGGGGGTGATTTGGGGGTCGTTTAGTATTTTTGGGTAGGGCTGGGGGAATGCTGAGGGTCCCTGACCATCGTAGGCCGAGCCCCGCCAGCAGGGGCGCTGTGGGACCCCCGTGGATCGGGGGGGCTGGGGGGGAGCGGACATCGAGGGCCCGGGCGGCGGCGAGGGCGGCCCGGGGCTCCCCCTGCCAGCGCCCGGCTCCTACCTGCGCCTGCCCCGCCATGGCGGCCGGGGGGCCCCGGGGGTCTCGGGGGGGGCCGGGAACTTCCGGGGGGGATCCCGACACTTCCCGCGGCCTCTCCCGCACGCGCTTCCGGTGCATGCCCCGCCCACACCGGAAGCATCGCCATGGCCGACCGGAAGCGGCGCCCCGGAAACGCCGCGGTGACCCCGGCACGTGAGGCAGGCCCGGATCTGCGGGGTTAAAATCCCACCGGGAATGCGGTGCTGTCATGATCAGATGGGCAGCCCTTCCCAGGAGGGACATTCCCAGCAGGCCCTCCCCTGAGGCCGTTTCCTCCTGTCCTGTCCTTGTTCTCTGCGAGCGGAGCCCGACTCAGCCTTGATCCAACCCGGATCCAGCCCGCTCCGATCCCGCTTGGCCTCCAGTCATTGATTCTCCCGAAATCCCAAATTTAGCACGAAAATTCCCAGGTTTTCCAACATAGATTGTCTCAGATCTGATCCCGACTCCCGACTCCGGTTTTCCCGTGGCCTTGCCTGAGGCCTGAGCTGGTATTCCCCGCTGCCCTCACATCCCTCCCTGCTGGCTCCTGGATAAGCCTCCTCCAGATTTCCGTCTTTTCTTGGATAAATTTCCCGACGATTCCGTATCTCCCGTGTGCAGCTTCTCCACGATTCCCTTCCCACCAACCCCGTGCAAGTAGTCTCCATCTATCCCCTGGAATTCCGTATGGAATTCCCTTGCCTGGACCCTTCACATCTGTGCCACCAAATGCCAGAAACTGGGAATGAATCAAATTCCAGCGATCCTGGGGATCCTTGGGAGTGGCCATGACTAATTGCTTATCTCTAAACGGATACAGCGAGTCTGGTTAGGTTTGATGACAATCCCAGCACCTGGAATTGTGGGAGCGTTATGGGAGCAATGGAAGCAGGCTCTGGGATTGCTGTTGATAGAAGGCTGGACGATCCTTGCATTCCCTCCCAGCCCAGGACATCCCAGGATTCTAGGACTCCATGAGAGGGGTGCAGGAAGAGCAGGACCCCCAAGACAGAGTTTTGGAGAAAAGTTTCCTCCAGCTCATCCCTTATCCAGAACTGGCCCTGTCCTCTCCCTGTATCCAGCAGCCCTGGCTGCTGAATTGACTTTTCCGGGGTCACCGTGGTGACATCGGGGCCAATGTCCAGCCGGGGCAGTGGCCGCGGCTCCGGGACAGCCGCGGTGACACCATGAGGCTGTGGCTGCTCTGCGCTGTCACCGCCGCCGTGGCCGTGGCCGGAGTGGCCGGAGCCGGAGCTGACCACGGCGACCCCGGCATGGCGGCACGCGGGAGAGAGGTCGGTAGTGTATGGGGAGGGGTAAAACTGGGAATAACGGGGCTGGGAATGCGGGGAATGCCAGAGCTCGGCACCGCGGGGCCCCGTCCCGCTCCTCGGGGCTGCCCCGGTACCGCGCCCTGCCCGAGTGCCCGGAGCAAATCCCAGGGCGCAGCCTTTCCACAGCTTTTCCAACCTCCGCGTCCCTGCGGGGCTGGGCTCGGCATTCCCGGTCCCTGGCGCGGCCCCGGCCCCTCGCAGCCGCGGCATCGCACAAACTTCCAAAGATCCCGGGGAAGACGAGGGGGCACGGGGTGGACACGGCGGGACGGGGTTCAGCGGCGATCCCATCACCTCCAGCTCCACGGGCAGCTCCCGGTGCTGCTCGCGTTCCCAGCGCCGCGCTCCGGGAGATCCCGACCCGACCTTTTCCTCCGCAGGGCCGGCGGCGGCCGCACAGACCCTGCTCCGGCTGCTTCTCCGTGCTGAGCGAGGTGAGCCGGCGCCGCCGGGATGCGCGGATTCGGGAATGCGGGGAGCGGGATCTGGGGTCACGGGATGGTGGCTCCCACACCCGCGTCTGTCCCGCAGGAGTCGCAGTCGATGCCCTGGAATTCCCGTGAGGAGGATGCGGCTCAGCCGGGCAGGCGGGCACGGAGCGGGAAGGGTCTGGAGGTACCGGAGTGTCCCGGAGCTGCCCGGGGATGGGATGGGAATGGGGATGGGAATGGGGATGGGAATGGGGATGGGATGGGGCTGTAGATGGGATGGGGCTGTAGATGGGATGGGGCTGTAGATGACATGGGGTGGGGTGGGATGGCATCTCCCTCTCCCAAGGCTCCATTTGACGCCGCGCTCACTCCCGCAGGGCAGAGCCAGGAGGGAGAGCCCGGAGCCGGCCCAGCCCGCGGGACACCCCAGGCACATCCCGCTGCTGTGACAGGTGACAACGAAGCCTCAGCAGGACCCCGGGCCCGGCGGGGACCCCCTGGCAGCCCCCGCGAGGCGTTGCAGGAGTCACCGAGCACCCGAGAGCACTGCGGGAGCGATGCCCGAGCCTGGGAATGCTGCTGGACACTGGGAGCAGCCCCACGCCAGGAGAGAGCTCAGCCGCCTGCTCCCTGCTCTGAGCTGTGCCCCCCGCCCTTCCCACCCCCCAAAATGCCTGTGGGGCAGCTGCCCCCGCTTTGCCAAGCCCCCAAATAAAGCCGGCACACCAGAGGAAGCGGATGTGTTTGGGGGGGACACACATAGGGTGGGCGACCCCCGACAGAGCTACCCCGCGCTGGGCTGGGCTGGGCGGGAGTGTGGGGACACTGGGGATACCAGAGGTCTGAGCCAACCCGTGGGTGTCTGCACAGGGAGATTGCAGGGGGACCCCAGGGACCGTGGGGCTGGGGGACCCTCCAGAGGTGCTGATCCTGGCGGTCCCTCAGGAATGTCAGTTCAAGGATGCGGAAGATCCCCTAAAATGCTGGATCACAGGGACAGGGAGATCCCCCAGGAATGCTAGTCCAAGGGGAGGTGGGGCTGGAGGACCCCCCAGCGATGGCGGTCCTGGGGGTCCCTCAGGGCTCCCAGTTCAGGGGAATGGCGGATTCCCAAGAATGCTGGATGACAGAGATGCAGCGGGTCCTCAGGAATGGAATGCTGGTTCCAGAGGAAGTGGGGCTGGCCCTGGGGGTCCCGCAGGACCCCCAGTTCAGGGCCCGGCGAGTGTCCGGAGGGGTCCAGGGGTGCGGCCGTGGTAGCCTTGGGCATCTGGCCCCGCCCATCGCCTGACCCCGCCCCGTTACCGCCACGCCCCCTGACGTAACCCCCGCCCCTCCAGGCCCCGCCCCGCCAGCCCTGCTCTTGCTCCTCCCGCCCGCCGGGGGGCGCCGCTTCCTGCGCGGTGCCGCTCTGGCGGACAGCGCCCCCTGCGGGCCCGGTGGCGGCGCGGGCGCGCAGGGGACCCGAGGCGGCGGTGGCGGCCGCGGCCATGTCCCGCCGGGGGCCCGCGCAGGTCAGGGCCCGCCCGGGCCACGGGCCACGGGCCGGGATGCGCGACGGGACACGGGACGGGGCGGGCCGCAGCGGTGCTGGGCCAGGGGCTGAGGGGGTCCCATGGGGGAAGTGGGACTGGGGGTTTGGGGGTTCTCTCAGAGTCCTGGGCATGGGGGAAGGGAGGTGGCATGGTTGTTCCTGGAGGGTGACAATTCGGGGGTCTCCGGGAGAGCTGGTTCGGGGGGATTGAGGGGTCCCCCAGGGGAGGTGGGCTAGGGAAACCGCCAGGGGTGTTGGCTCTGGGAGTCGGGGTTGTCCCTCTGGATCCTGGGAATGGATGACAGCTCAGGAGGATGGGAGGATGCCCCAGGGATGCCAGTTCACAGGGATGAAGGGATCTCCGAGGGATGCTGGTCCTCGGAGAGGTGGAACTGTGGAACCCCCCAAAGGTGCTGGTCCTGGGGGTTCCCCTGGGGTGCCTATTCAGGGGGTTTCCCTTTGGTCCTTGGGAAGGTGGGCATAGGGGCACGCGGGGGTGGAAGCCATATCCCTGCGGAATTGGGATCTGGGGAAATCCCTCGGGGCTCCCGGGGGTCCTGAGCAGGTGGCCATTCCCTGGCCACCCTTTGGCCAGGGTCGTGGCCAAACCCCTAACCCTGAGTCCCCCGCAGGTGTCGGGCAGCCTCCGGCAGAAGGCAGTGCCGGGCATGGCCCCGTCGGAGCTGCAGGAGCTGCAGAGCCGCACGGAGCGAGCGGAGCGGCGGCTCCTGGCCTGCGAGAACCTGGTCGGGGAGCTGGGCAGCGGCCTGGCCGCCCTGGGCACCGTCCTGCAGGGCTACGGGCAGCTGCAGCAGCGCCTGCTCAACCTGGAGAACCTCCTCAAGAACAGGAACTTCTGGATCCTGCGCCTGCCCCCCACCTCCAGAGGGGAGATCCCCAAGGTAGCAACAGCAACTTCCCCGGGATCCTGTGGGACTGTGGAAGGTTGGGGTCCGAGCTCCTGCTTGTCCCCATAGTGGGGCTGGACGTGTCCCGAGCCCCGTGGTTCCAGGGGAGTTCTGTGTCATTCCAGGTGCCGCTCACCTTCGATGATATCTCGGTGTATTTCAATGAGCTGGAGTGGGAGAGGCTGGAGCGCTGGCAGAAGGATCTGTACAGGGCCGTGATGAGGGGCAACTACGAGACCTTGGTGTCCCTGGGTAAGGTTTGGGGGGCTGTAGCTTGTGGAATCATGGAGTAGCCTGGGTTTGGAAGGCTGTGAGGTGGTGAGGCCCTGGCACAGGTTACCCACATCCCTGGAAGAGTCCAGGGCCAGGCTGGATGGGGCTTGGAGCAACCTGGGATAGTGGAGGGTGTCCCTGACTTCCGCTAGAGGGAAATGTTCCAGCCAAAGGTTTTCCCTCATTTGGGATTTTAGTTCATGTTCTGCTGGTAAGATCCTCTCTGCCTCAGCTGCATCTGTGTTTGGGAATGGATCTTGCCTTGGAGACAAGGAAGTGTTTGGAGTAGGGATAAGGTGTTTGTGTCTCTGCCAGGACTGGGATAGGGGACAAGGGTCACTGCTGGAATGTGCTTAGCTAAAGACATGGTCAGATCTTAATAAGCACCCCCATCCTCTGCCCCATGCCCAGACTACGCCGTGTCCAAGCCTGACATCCTGTCCCGGATAGAGAGGGATGAAGAGCTCAGTGACAAAGAGGGTCAGGAGCCCCCATGGACACGGTCTGGGGATGATCAGGAGCCCCTCCAGGCAGCAGAAGAGATGGACAAGGCGGATGAGGCTCCAGGAGATGAAACCCCCATGGAAGCTGCCCCAGGTGGGTGCCAGGAGGAGGTGGCTGTTCCTGGAGATCTCGCCTTTGTTAGGAAGGAAGTGCTCACTCCATGGATTAAAGCACCCCGGAGCACCGTGAATCTTCATTCCAAGAGGAATGGTTGTGCTTGGTTGGATGAATCCTACAGAGAAAAGAAGTCAAAGCCTTCAGGAGGGTCTGGAGCAGTAGGAAAGGCTTCCTGTAAGACTGGGGCTTCCAGAAACATTCATGCCTGCTGTAGAGGAACAGGAAACATGCTGGAAAGTGAGGAACTGGGAGCTGAGGTGGGAGGAGGAGGCTGGAGCTGCTCTGCTTGTCCTGGGAAAACAGAGGAGTCTGGGGAGCCTCGGGGCATGGATTTAGACTGGGAGAGCTGGGCGGGAAGAGGGAGGTGCTGGAAAGGGGAAGACACACCCAGACAGAGCTAGGAACAGCAGAGATATGGGAAGAGCCGTGGCTGAGGGCTCTTTCCTGCAGGATTCAGGAGCTAGGAAGGTTAAAGGCACTCCAGGAAAAGCTGGGCAGGTGCTGTCCCATGGGAAAACTCACCTGGAACCCAGGTGGGAGTTTGGGGGTTGGATTGGAGGAAAGGAAAAGGGACACAGGGATGTTTCCTTTGGGGTTCATGGTCTGTTACTCGGAGCTTCTGTCCTGTGTGGATCCTGCCACGGGGCCAAGGAGGCGGCTCTGCCATTGGGGTTGGAGTCTCTGTTTGTGTGTCTGCTGGGGCTGGGAGAGGGGACAAGGGTCACTTTGGGAATCTGGCAGCCAAATCCTAATAAAGCCCCTGTTCTCTGCCCTGGGAGCAGATGGTGCCAAGTCCAAGCCCAATGGCCGGACCTGCATCAAGAGGGATGAAGAGACCAGCAACGAAAAGGGTCCAGAACCCTCATGGACACAGAATGGGGACAGCCAGAAAACCCTACAGATACAGACTGGACACAGCCAGGAACCCCCAGAGACACAGACTGGGAACAGCCCAAAATCCCCACGGACACGGAGTGGGAACAGCCAAAAAACCCCACAGACCCAGACTAGAGACAGCCAGAACCCCCCACAGACACAGATTAGGGACAGCCCAAAGTCCTCATGGACACGGAGTGGGAACAGCCAGAAAACCCCACAGACACAGACTGGGGACAGCCAGAACCCCCCACAAACACACACTAGGGACAGCCCAAAGTCCTCATGGACACGGAGTGGGAACAGCCAGAAAACCCTGCAGACACAGACTGAGGACAGCCCAAAAACCCCATGGACACAGAATGGGGACAGCCCTAAGTCCACATGGACACGGAGTGGGAACAGCCAGAAAACCCTACAGATAGAGACTGAAGACAGCCAGAACCCCCCACAGACACAGACTGGGGACAGCCCTAAGTCCACATGGACACGGAGTGGGAACAGCCCAAAGTCCCCAAGGACACAGATTGAGAACAGCCCAAAGTCCCCAAGGACACAGAGTGGGAACAGCCCAAAACTCCCACGGACACAGATTGGGAACAGCCCGAAGTCCCCACAGGCACACACTGGGGACAGCCAGACACTGCCTCAGACACAGACTGGGGACCCCCAGACAGGTGCCCCCAACAATCAGAAGCCCCCACAGACACCAGAAGAGATGGAGCAGCAGGAAGAGGCTTTGGGAGAGGATGCCATGCCCACAGAAGCTGGCCCAGGTGAGTTTCAGGGGTGCCAGGGATGTACTTCCCCTTCCCCAGCTCTCTGGGGCTCTGGTGGTGTCCAGGGCAGAGGGCACGGCCCTGGTGTTGGAGAGGCATTTCCAGGGAGCCTTGGGATGCTGTCATGGGATGGTGGACGAGAGTCTGGACATGGGAATGTAAGCTATGGAGGTGGTGAGGCGAGGCTTCTCCATGAGGTGATGGCATGTGGCATCTTGGTGTCCTTCCTCCCAGCCCTCCCTCTGCTTTTGGTTCATGTGTGGCTTCACTCCTGACACCTTCCAGCCTTTCCATAGAATTGCTGGGGTTGGAAAAGCCCTCTGAGACCACTGGGTCCAGCTCTGCCCCAGCACTGCCAAGGCCCCATGTCCCCAGGTGCCACATCCACACGGCTTCTAAATCCCTGCTGGAACAGGGACTCCACCACTGCCTGTTGCAGGGCTGGATAGCCCTTTCCAGAAGGAATTTTCCTGATGGCTGATCCACATCCTGGCTCTTGAGGTGCAACTTTCTCCAGCTCTTCCACACGCTCCCAGCAATCCCTGGTTCATAATGCTGGAGCTGGGACCTGGGAGGTCTCCATGGGTCTTTCAAATCCCTGTTCCCTGCAAACAGAATTCCCCATCCTGATGATGAACGTGATGTCCCTGGGGGACCATCAGCCAGGGATGGTGGCAGAGGAGGACCTGGAGATGGAGGAGGACCCGGCAGAGCCTGACACTGGTGAGTCACCCTGTGCTGGGGACACGGGGCCTGGCAGGAAGGTGGGAAGCAGCTTCCAGAGCTTATGGGCATAAATTGGGAGGGAAAATGAAGTTTCTGGGGTTCCTTTTATTTTTTCCTGCAACATCTTGTGGGTTTAGATGTGGGTCCCTTGTGCCACTGGTCCCAATGGCACCCACAGAGGGCTCAGCCTGGGAACCCTTCAGGGATGGACACTCCATCCCTGCCCTGGGCTGCTGTGCCAGGGCTAGACAGCCTTTTTGGGGAAGGAATTTTCCCAACATGCAACCTGAACCTCCCCTGGCACAGCTTGAGGCCATTTCCCCTTGCCCTGTCACTGTTCCCTGAGAGCAGAGCCCGACCCCCCCCGGCTGTCCCCTCCTGTCAGGGAGTTGTGCAGATCCAGAAGGGCCCCCCTGAGCCTCCTTTTCTCCAGGCTGAGCCCCTTTCCCAGCTCCTTCAGCCACTCCTGGTGCTCCAGCCCCTTCCCAGCTCTGTTCTCTTCCCAGCCCTCAATGTCTTCTCAGTGAGAAGCCTAGAGCTGCCCCCGGGACTGGAGGTGCTCAGCAGTGCCAGCACAAAGGGGGGCCCTGGTGCTGTGTCACACCCGTGCTGGCACCAACACGGTGTCTCTCTGTTCCAGAGGAAGCCTCACCCATGGAAGATGAAACGCTGTGCGAAGGGGCTGCTCCCGGGGACATCAAGGTGAAGGAAGAGGAGCCTGAGCTGCTGGCAGAGGAATCCACACCCTCTCCCGGCTCAGAGATCCAGAAATGTCCCAAAAACGAGCTGGTGAAAGCCAAGAGCAAGAAGAAGCCGAACCGGTGCGAGACCAGCAACCTCCTGATGGGCAACTGCCGGCGCGGGTACGTGCGGGAATGGTCCCATCCCTGCACGGAGTGCGGGAAGCGCTTCCGCCTCAAGATCAACCTCATCATCCACCAGCGCAGCCACGCCAAGGAGGGGCCCTACGAGTGCCCCGTGTGTGAGATCGGCTTCAGCAACAAACGGCACCTGGACCTTCACCGCAGCATCCACGTCAAGGACAGGGCCTTCGGGGCCAAGGTCTGGGGCAACGTCCACCCCGAGCTGCGCATCCGCCCGCGCAGGGACCTGTGCGGTGGCACCCACGGGCTGGGCAGCGCTGGCCACGCTGGGGGAGCCTGGCTGGGCCAGCCCAAGGAGGAGCCGGACAGAGAGGGCCTGCCTGGCTCCGGGTTCACGCGGCCGCCCGATTCCAGGGTGAAGTGTCCCTACTGCAAGAAGTTCCTGTCCTGCTCCATGTCGCTGCGGCGGCACCTGCAGACCCACGCGCGGGACCGGCCCTACTGCTGCAGCTCCTGCAACAAGTGTTTCACCCGCAGCAATCACCTCCTGCGCCACAAGAAGATCCACGAGCGGGCTCTGGCCGCGCTCCAGAGGGAGGCCAACGCCCAGCCCCCTGCCGCTATCCCGGCATCCCTGCAGCACGGGGCTCCCGAGGCCGACAGGAGCCTTTCCCAAGGGAAAGGCAGCCCTGAGGCTGCAAAACCGAGCCTGCCCAATGTGCTGCTGTTGGGAGCGACACCACTGGAGAGCCCGGGCAAAGGCTCCCCGCTCCCTGACTGCATCAGGAAAGCCGTGCAGCCCGTAGTCCAGCTGGGATCGAGGGCAGTGGCTTCAGAAATGACCCTGGGACAGATCTGAGCTGTGCGTGTCCCCAGAGAGAAGCTGCGAGTTTGTTGGGTTTGCACCTGGTGGGACACCGGGATTGGGAATCTGCTGCGTTTTAGGAGCTTCTTGGGTTGTAGAAAGAATGGGAAGCTTGGAGACCACAACAGAGAGCAAGTTGCAGAAGCCTGCAGCGATCCATAATGCTTCACCATTCCACGGAGTTGTTCCTGTTGGCTGATGCTTGGAATTTTCCTAAGCTGACATTCCTGAGAAATGACCAGGTGAATCCTGGTCAAACAGGAGCAAAGCTTTTGCATTCCTTGATGTTGGAGCTGACCCCTTGCTTTTGGGAACACAATTGAAGAGGGCAGGGAGAAGGGAAAGGAGCTGACAGCATTCCCAAACAGCCCTTTGCTCCATGGACCAAGCTTCCTGAGACACCAGATGGAGAGTGACATCTCTGAGACTCCACCACGTCCTGGCCACCCTTGCCATCCTCCACCCTGGGGACATCAGCCAACACCCCCTCCAGCGGGTTGGGAACACTGGAGCTTTGCACTGGAAGATCCATAGGACAAAGCAAACCCCAATATTCTGTGCTGGCATATTCCAGGGATCCCGGCAGGGAAGCCACAGGCACCCTCGGGACCATCCTGCATGGTGCAGAGTGATTTTAGGAATACTTGACGGGTCAGCCAGCCCCATGCTGCAGCAGCACCCCTGATCCTCATGGATACGCCTGCACAGAGCAGCGCCTCAGCTCTGGAGGAAACTCCTATTCTCCCAACCGCAGCTCGTCCCCTTTTGCCCAGAATCCCACCAGAATGAATCCTATGGGAAAACAGTTCTGCAGCTACCTCATGCGGGGAGAGGGAGGCCTGCCCAGAGGCAGCCAATGGAAGCCAGGCCTGGCGCTGCTTTGGTGTCCCCAGAGCCACCAGAGCAATGTCCTGGCCAGAGCCCCACATGCTGGGTGTGCACAGGGAGCTCATCCCATCCAGAGCCATTGCCACATGGACCCAATGGAGCAGCTGCTGGGACTCTTGCATTTAGTTTTCCAGGGTTTTTTCTTGTTTTCTTTGAGTTGTTTGATGTAATTATTTGATATCCTGAGATCTCTGAGCAGTGAACACTGGTAGGCTTTTCCCATCTTTCATTCCAAGTCACTCCCAAGGTGTGATGGTGCTGCTACGGGAAGCTTTGGGAGCTGAGGGAACACCTGTGCTACATCCAGGTGTGACCCTCAGCCACCTCCTGCTCCATGGGACAGACAGCAGCATCCAAGCTGCTCCACGGGAATACACGACATCCCACTGCTCCTCTGGGCTGGTGTCTCACAATTCCTGCCCCTGGGATTGCAGTGTGGAGCATTCCCAGACTGCAGCAGGAGCCGGGAGGGGTGACAGTGGCAGAGGGGGGATGTTTGATGCCTTGTGGACATGTGACCATGGCTCTGGCACTGAGCCAGTGGCTGGTTATCCCTGCCCAGGTAGAGATCCAAGTGCTCCCTAGTTGATCCCAGGGGCATGGCTGAGCTGGTGTGCTGGTGTTCCAGTGGGTGAATAACCCCAGGCCAGCAGAAGGGCCAGCAGCCCCAGCCTGGCATCTGCTGTGACCCGGAGCAGCATTTTCTATGACATTCCTGATCCCTTTCTCAGGCTGTGGAATCAATAAAGTATTTGTCTCTATGGTTGGCTGCTTTGGGGGCTGTACTGTGGGCGCAGAACTGGGATCAGCCAGCAGGAGGGTTTTGGGAGTCACTGCCAGCAGCTCCAGAGCCCCAGGGCACTGGGAGAGTTGTGGAATCCAAGCCAGGAAGGACAAGCTGCCGAGCGGAGCAGGGAAGGGCAAGGGATGGAGAGGCCCTGACTACCATGGGTCCCTCAGCACTGCCAGGGAGTCCCGTGGTGCCCAGATTGTATGGAGAATCCTGTGGGGGATTCCTGTGAGACAGCTTCACATTCCCATCACACATTCCCAGCAGGTAGCTCTGCATTCCTCCCCCATGGCCCCCTCCCTGTTGAGCCAGGGATGTCAACCCCCAGCCCGCCCACGAGCACAACAGGAGACCAGGTCATCTCAGTCTTTTATCTGATTCTCTTTGCGGCTGGTCCTGCCACCCAGCCCCCACAGCCTTCTCAGGGCTATCAGCTGCCCCCAGGCCACTGACCGCTCCCTGCACAGTGCTGGTGTTCAAACAACCCCAGTTTCACCCTGGGATCCGGCACAGCCGCTCCTCTGCTGAACCTAGGGGCAGCGGCACCGCCCGGCTCGGCTCCAGCCGCTGACCCTCCCCTCCTCTGCTGCCTCGTGGCCAGTCCCATCCCGCCCTGGGCCCTTCCCTGCCGGAACAGCACAGGAGGCTCCCTCCTCCTCCTGCTCCTCCTCCTGAGACCCAGGTGGTGCCACAAGTCCTACAGCATCACGGACAAACTCCCTGTGCTTCCCCAAGTCCCTGCTGCCCGGTGTCCCACGCGGAAGAACCACTGTCCCTTCCCTTCTCCAGCCCTCTGGCTACCGATTATCCTGGCTCAGAGCCTCGCAGGTCTCCAACTCCGGCTCGTGTCCTGGCAAGCTGCCGGCCGGAGAGGTGGCCACGGCGTGCACCTTCTGGTGGTGGTTGAGCGATTGCCGGTGCCGGAAGCTCTTGGTGCAGCCGTGGCACTGGAAGGGGCGTTGCTGGGTGTGCCGGCGCTGGTGCTCCTCCAGCGACGTTTTCTGGGGGAAGCTCTCGGCGCACTCGATGCAGCGGTAGAGCCGCTCGCCGGTGGCGCTGGCCCGCGCCGGCCGGCCCGGCCACGCGCTGCGGAGCTGCGGCCCGTGGATGCGCTGGTGCTTCTGCAGGTGGTGCTTCTGCACGAAGCCCTTGCCGCAGGCGGGGCAGCGGTACGGCCGCTCCCCGGTGTGGATCCGGTAGTGCTTGTTGAGGTTGGATTTCTCGTTGAAGCTCTTGCCGCAGGCCGGGCACTGGAAGGGCCGCTCGCCCGTGTGCAGGCGCTGGTGCCGCAGCAGCGCGGCGTGGTGGGCCAGGCTCTTCCCGCAGGACGTGCAGATGAAGGAGCCGTTGCTCTTCCTCGCCCGGCTCTGCTGCCGCGCCAGGAGGTTCCGTGTCAGCCGGACGCTCTTCCAGCCCGGCGACAGCGCCCCAGGATCGTCCTGGGGACTCTGCTGCTCCCAGCCGGGCTGCGGCGAGGCCACCTCGGCCGCGGGGTCTTCTCCCAGCGGCATTCCCTGGGCAAGGGCGAACGGCTGCTCCGTGCCCGCGCCCAGCACGTGCTCGGTGGGGAAGGGCAGGCCCGGGGCAGGGTGAGCTTCCACCGGCACCACCACTGGCTTGAATTCCCCCAGGCAGAATTCCCCCAAGCCCGCTGCGGCCGCCTTGGGCCCGGCCACGCCGTGGCTCTCCCAGGAAACCGGCTGCTCCTGGCTGAGGGGAACCTCCTCGTCCAGCCTGACCGTGGGCACCATCGGCAGTGCCAGGAGCTCAGCTCCGTCCTCCTGCGGCTGCTGCTCTTCTGTCTTGATCACGATCATCTCACCTGTGGAGAGACTGCAGTTCATCCTGGGAAAGGAAGTCCTCCCGTACCTGCAGCTCCAGAGTGGAAGCAGGAGCAGAGCAGAGAGGGACTGGCAAAGAATGAAAGGGAGCAGGAAGGGATTCCCAAGAGGAGATAAGATGAAAGGGGATTGTCAGGGCAGCTCGTTGGACCTCAGGGACATCACGGAATCACAGAAATAGTGAGGTTTGCAAAGCCCTCCAAGATTAACAAGTCCAATCATCAACCAAGCACTGCCAAGGCCACCACTGACCCGTGTCCCCAGCTGCTACATGCACACAGTTTTTAAATCCTTCCAGGAATGGAGACTTCACCCACCACTGCCCTGGGCATGCTGGACTCAATGGACACTACGGACTGACAATACCATCCTGACACAAAAGCCAAACCAGAGAGAATGTGAAGGCAAAGCTGAGGTGCAGAGTCCTCCATCCTGGAAAGAACCCCATCAGGAATGGCAGAGTTTAAGTGGGTGAATCCAGGGAAAAGGATCAAAGCAAAGCCTCCCCAAAGCAGGAAGGAGCATCCACCCACAGGTACCCAATGCCAGAGCCATCCTCACTGAGCCTTGCCCCAGGTTTTCCCATTTTCCATCCTTAAGAACTCTGCCCAGTCCGGGTGGGTTGTCAGTGCCCATCCTCAGCCCCCCTCGCTGTCACTCACTGTCACCAAGCTGTCCTGGCACCGCTCCCTTCTCTGGCAGCCCGGGGCTCCCTGGATCCTCCCTGTCCTCGGCTGGTGGCAGCAGTGCAGGTTTGGAACCAGCATCCTCGGACTCTGGGAAGGAGGGAGCAATGGGATGAACTGCTGGCAGTGGGGACCAGCCAAAGCGGGGTCCTGGAATTCCAGGACATCTGATCACACAGGCCACTGGTAGCCGCACCAAGCACGTGATTTTTGCTTATCCAGGAAGTGCCTGGTAAACATTCAAGCTCTACAATTTCAGCCCAAAATTAATAAGCACTAAAATGTAGGACTCTGCAGCAAATGCCTGCAGGGTGATCCATTTACAGCCCATATCCCAGGAAAAAACAGTGCAGGAACAGTGCTGGTGGGGCTGCAGGACATGTCACCTGGAATCTCCCCATGTTCCACGTGGGGAGGGTTTGGAAGCTGCACCAGCCCAGGGATGACGATGCTTCTGACATGATCTGAGTGATCCTCACCGAGAGGGACCATGGCCTCATAATTCCCCTTCCTGGCGATCCCACGAAGCTCCCGGATGTCCACGCTCCCCAATTCCTGCTCTGGCAGAGCGTCCGCCTCACCCTTGCCCGCTGCTGGCACCTGGAAGTACAGGAGGCTCCACCTGGGGGTCCCCACTGAGCCCCTCCCTGAGCCCCTGGAGGTCTGGAGCTCCTATGGACAGAGCCATGTCACGGGAGACATTCCCAGAAATCGCAGCAAGGCTCAGCTGTTCCTGGGGCAGATTCCCAGGATCCATCCCAGCAGCCAGGTGAGCAGTGACCCCTCAGG